AATTTACCGCTCTTTTTCATTATCCGCGTATTGTTCCTGCTGTTACACTGCAGGATAGTATGAAATATGGGCCACGCCAGATTTATGAGGTATAACTCGAACTTTTGTGATTATGACACGTCTTGAGCATATCTTACTTTCAACATGTTACTAGCGAGGAAAGATCTGACATACAGCTAAGCTGTTATTCTTTTTCCCTATAATCGTGAATTTTTGGAACATATTGTGCGACATTCTCTAAAACATGTGAACATGATCATCTTGTCGTGATTATTTCAAATGTTATGTCAGGCATGGGACCAATTGCACTTTTATTAAAAAGTTGTATCTCGGAATGGCTGATGACCACATGACTGATCTACAGAAAGTGAGTCCAAAACTTTTCATGTGTCAGTCAAAGACACGTTTATTCATTCCTTCTTATAGACTGTTATTCACTTCATTTTGCTGGCGGGAGCAGCTTCAGGGGGTTTCAATAATCAAGCAAGTTTTACGGAATGGATTGGGAGGCTCGCATCATCATCCAATTGTTACTTGTTAAACACTATAGATTACTTGATTATTTGTTCGTTGTTTACTCAACCTCCTTCAAATACTAAAGTTTATTGTGAAATGAAAGTATTGCTAATGTGCTTTAAAGAAGTATTATTTGATGTGTGTGTGTTTTTAACGAGTAAACGTCGATTGATTTAGTTATCGCTAAATTACAAGTGGAGAAGGGATTTGCTCTGCAAGACATATTGACCGAAGTTCACAGCTTCGTATACCGACGTAAGTCTATTTTGTATCTTTGTTGTTTTTGTAGTCGTCGTCATTTGAGGTGTCATGGTTCAAGGACAGTGTACCCAAATTAATGAATTCTGTTTGATATGGTAACTTTGCTTTCTTCTGATTCGTTTGTAATTTCGCCGTTTGGGTCACAATTCAAATTGAGAGAGAAGAGGGGTTTGGACCGTGGCGAAGTTTCACGTGAGTTCCACCTGGTTCCTACCTGGATGTGGCTGGCTGGTTCAATCGCTTGAGCACCGAAGAGAAAATGCTAAGGTTGTCAATTCTAGTCTTGGCCAGGATCC